ATATATGGACATACCTGCTTCAATTTTGCCAGGTCGGGCAGCCTCTATATCCATGTTCTTTCACACTGTCAGTGATATTACAGAGCACACCAGGGACTGAGTCCAGGGCCTGTGTTTCCTAAGTACTTTCTCTATCTTTGAAGTATCCACAGCTAGTCTGGATTCGTTTCATGCCAAAATTAAATACATTCTATTCCTTTCTTGGTTACCATGTATTGAAAACTTTCAGAACTGTGATGCTAAAGAAACCTTATGCTGGGTTAACACTAATCTTTGAGGCTGCCTAATATGTATCAATCATGTATTGATTAGTCTTTTAAATTCTTTTTATATTATAGTTACATAATTTCAACTGTCTATAAAGGATAGTTCGGTTGTTTTCTCGAGACAAGGTTTCTTTGGTAGCCTTAGCTGTCCTAGAACTAGTGCTGTAGCGGAGGCTAGCCTTGAATTCTCAGAGACCCGCCTGCCTCTGCCTCCCGAGGACTGGGATTAAAGGCGTGCGCCGCCGCTGCCCGGCAGAGGGATAACTTTTCTTGAGTGAATTATAAAATATTCTACAGTGAGGAAAAAGAAATAACTCCAGGAGGTCAGCGTGCTGCACAGTTGCTATTACGTTGGCGTGTGTATCGACATGACCCACTTCCACAGTGCTCACAAATTTGAACAAGGCAGACTGTCTTATCTACTGTGAGGTCTCTGTACTTTAAAGAAAACTTTAGGGTTCTCACAGCGTGATGTGTCCATTTCACCATGCTCCTTAGTACCTCTGGTGGAAGATGGTGGAGGGAAATCAAGGGACGTAGAACTCGGTTTTCAGGAGCTCTTGCAGGTTGCAGGAGGAAGGTGGGACACAGGCCTGGAGAGATGGCTCAGACAATGAAGTGCCTGCTGTTGGAACACGAGGACCCAAGAGCTAATTCCCAGAACCCGCAGGAGGAACTGGCTGACCAGTGTGTGTCTAGAATCCCAGGTCTGAGTGGCAGAGACAGGTAGATCCTTGCTGCTTGCTGGCCAGCCAGCCTACCCCACTGGCCTGCTTTGAGGTCAGTAAAAAGACCCTGCCTCAAAAATTAAGGTGGAGAGTCATTGAGGAAGACTCCCAGCATTCTGTGTCATCCCGTGCCCCACCCTACACCTCTCTCTGCACGTACACAAACATGTACGCACGTGAAAACACAAAACATTTAAGAGGTACCGCGAGGTAAGCTAGAGCTGCTGGTTCCGGAATCATGGGATAATCTGGTGGCCTGTATTTCTCTCCCCAGACATCAGGTCTGAATTCATGCACGGCCTTGTGTTTTTCAGGTTGATGCAGGATTTTAGGATGTTGCCCTTCGACATTTAGTAAGTGGTCTCTTAAAAAAAAAATAATTTGGGAAAATTCCAACAGTAGGCTGAGGCTTTAGGTCGCTAGTTGGTTTTCATCCGTGTGGACAGTTTGTGAGTTTGGATATCGTAGAACAGAGTTTGTGAAGTTTATCGAGGGTCACAATCCATTTGGGGAGATTGACACTTGGCAGGAATAAAGGGAGCCACGGAAGGTTCTGTGTTTGCAACATTAGTTCCTCCCAGGAAAGCAGGTCAAGAAAATATAGGACTCACTCTAGCTGTGAGGTTGAGAGCTGGAATTTTATCATTGCCATCCTTTTGAACAAGAAACAGTTATAATTTTGTGATTCTCTACTCTTTCAACGTGAGGCTTGCTGAGGCGTGGGGAAATAAAACCCCAGGGACCTCACGTTCCCAACTTTTCATAGGACTGTGGGAAATGGGAGTCAGAGCAGTTCAAAGACGCACTATACATGCATAAACGTCTTCATTTTTACAACACATTGTGAATAAAGAAAAACAGATTGTATGTGGCAGTAACATTTGAGGACAGAATAGACTCTGGAGACAGTGGAAACAGGCCTGTTACTCTGTTAGCAAGAGGGACGTAACCGTGGCTGGGTCATGGTGTGGTTCAGAGCTACCAGGGTCTGAGCCACAGCTTGGTCAAACCATCTGTGACCAGTCATTATAAACCAAGAATCATTTTCTTTACGTGTTTGGCATGGGACGCTGCCCAGACCCACCCGAAGCCCTAGGAAACCAGCCCATTTCTGACGACTTTGTGTATGTGTACATGGCCAGTTTGAACGCCAGTGAGAAACTCTATCTGTTGCTGTTTGATCCGTTTAGTGTACAGTTATCTATACCCTACTCTTCGTCTCGGAAACCTACAGGGAGCCGTTTTGTGAACTGCACGTACTCTTTCAAATGCTCTTTGGATTTTTAGTGTTCGTAAGGTAGCGATGTTACTCTGGCAAAAGTTTCTACATCTGTGTTATCACTACTGACAGCTCCAGAGCCTAGTGGCCGGTGTGTTTGTATTTCACGTGGTTTGTGCTGTTTCATTTTGGACTATTTACATCCCTTTATTAGGAAAATAAAGATACATTTGAATTCTTTTCAGCATGATCTGCATTGGAATTTGTGAGTACCCCCCCGTGGGTAGCAGAACATACTTTGCCACCAAAGCTAAACGAAACTGTAAAATACCTCTGGATATCTGTGCCAAGGAACTTCTCTTAGGATGTTGGGGTTAAAACAAGAGTCATCTTTTCCAGTATTTTTCATCTAGACCTACAATAAATGTGTACACCGTGAAAACGTAAGCCACACTGTATTTTTCCTTGAAGCTGTTCAGAGCTTTAGAATGGTTTGCTTGCTTCTATCTGCTTTCCTGATACTGTTGGGTAGAAACTGAATTCGCTGGGTCGTCTTTCAGCTTCTTTAACTGAAGAAGTCATCCGGCTGTGGTCTTACTTTGTGCTGCGAAAAGTGAATTTTGTTCAGTCCATTTTTTTTTTTTTTGGTCTAGGCCTCCCCTTTATATACCTGAATGCTTGCCCTGCGGGCTCTCTTTTGTTTTCTGTTTGTTTCTGTTCAGTCCCAAGTGTTTGTCCGCTAGACCCTAACGTAGTCCATTGAAGCAAACCTTTGAGCAGGGCACACCTTGTATCAAACACTGTGGAAAGCCAGATACTGACATTACTTGGTCTTGGTGGAGTAACGGTTGTCTGACTGTTGGGGACTGTGGAGAGAAAGATGGTTTATGGGGGTTGGCTACAGGGTGGGTGCGTGTGCCCTCTGGGAGGGGTGTGTCCCCTATGTGCCCTGGCCTTAGCCTAGGTAGGAGACGCCTTGTCCTTTACGTAAGCTGGCTCTGTGTGTGGGGAAACAGGTGTTTGTCAGAATTCTCATGCTAATCCCCCCTCCCCGATGTGTGGTTGGGAGAGAGATCTTCATTTTTTATTGTGTATAAACTAGGAAGTTGTGTTACATATATTTTTTCAAAATGGGAACTGAGGTGTATCGTTGTGAAGCCATACTGTGGTTTCTTCAACCTAGGACTAATGTAAATGTAACAACGTGCCCAAGATAAACTAGACCAAAACTGAATATATATATCATCACTGTGACCTTGAACTTATTTGGGATAAAACAGACTGTGCCTTAAAAAATGACGAAGCAACGCCCTGCGATTTTTGTATCTCGATATTTCACTGTGGGCAGCCTTCTCAGATTCATCTCAAATCCTTTTCTTTCAAGCGGCTGAAATTATAAGCCTTCAGTATAAATTGGCCCACACCTCCTTTAGGGTCCGCACAGCCATTATTCTTGAGGCCTCCTTTAATTTCCAGAGCTGCTTTTTTGTTCTATTTTTTTTTAAAAAAAATTGATTTAGTCTTAATATAGCTGGGAAATTAGATTTGACTGCAGTTTCTGGGGGAGATGCTTTAAGGGATAGTCACGGCCCTCCTGTTTCTAAACTTAGTGAATATATGAAAATTAATCATTGAAATGTATTTTTGTCTTATTGGTAATGATCTTATCAAACATGTGAGTTCCTTCTAAGACTTGTGCCCCGTGTTGTGGCACATTGAGACTTGTGTTTGTTTTCTCAAGGAAGGGGTATCAACCCAGTAATGATTTTGCGGTGGCTGAACTCAGATCAATGTCATTTAAAAAAAAAAAAAGTTACCATTTCCCTCTCATTTTCTTTTTCCTGCCTAATTATTTTATGGTGTCACGGGAGAATTAACTCCTCTGTTTTTAATTAATGTAAAGTCTAAAGTTTATATTGTGTTTATTTTAAACAAGGAGTATGATTTTCATAAAAGTCCAAATTACTCGATTTATCGTATAATCACGCTCTTTTCCAAAGGCGTCCGGATCCCCGTGTACTGTTTGCTTTTCCACGTGACTTTTGGGCATAAAATCAGTGTATTTCTCTTGTCCTGTTTCACCTTCACTACCCCTTTACTATGTTCAAGTTTTTATTTTAAATAAGAGTCTCTTAAAAACTTGTAGAAATGACAGTGTGTCTTTCCTCAAAGCCTGGTAAGACTGACGACGAGGCTGTTCAGACAAGGGTGTGTGTAATCAAGGGTCTCTCAGCTGACATCAGTTTTTATCCTTACAGTTAAACCTTTAGAGCGCAGACGACTCGTGGCTGCGGACGGAGACTCAGTGGAGTTAGCGTTTATTTGCACGCCGATTTTTGTGCTCATCCGTAAACTCTAGTGTGTAGTAACAAGGCTTAGTGCAAGAAGCCTGTCCGAAAGTGTGTACTGAAAACGATAACCGTCGTGCAGATTTTCCCGTCCGAACATGCATGCTCCTCCCCCAGTGTGTCGCGTTGCGTGTAGTGCACCGAACACGCATGTGTGTTCTCTTCTGTGTGTTTCTGGTATGGTATAATTAACGCTGTTACGTTGAACCAGTTGTGGTTTGGGAGAAAGTGCTGCTTCTGTGCATTGTAGAGTCTTGTAAACGTTTTTAATCTCTGTTCTCACGTTACGATGTAGTTTTATTAGGTGAGCATTTGCCTTCCGTCTCCGCTCAGGTATTAACGTGTAGCAATCTGGGGTGCTTTGTTTTTAATTTGTCATATTCTGGTGTTCTGAACGTTCCAAAATAAATTTGGTGAACAAGCACATTTGGTACAAAGATTTCTTACTGCTTTGCATGGTCTAAAATTTTGTCCGTGGAAGAAGCGTTAAACAGGCTTCTTTGCAAGTCTGGGACCATCGTAAACAGAGTACCTGTTGGGCATAGGATATGGCTCAGCACAGTCAAGTCCCAGGAGCAGGAAAAGCCGACGTTCTGCAACTTGATATCTTATAGATTTTCACATACGTTTCAATGGCCACTTCATAGGTCACAGGGTCTGTGTGACCTTTCAGAAACTGTATATGTTTCCATCAGAGACAACACTTTCCCCCTTGCCTCTGCCCACTGGATATAATCCTCGGTGCTCAGTGTCTCAGTGTGAGAAGAATGAGGAGGATTTAGACATTACGCAGATTTATAGGTCACTCTACAGTTACGCAGTTGGCTTTTGCGAGTAGAAGCCCAGGATTCTAGTTAGCAAGTTACCCAGAAGTAAATCTTAAGTTTAGACAATAAAATTAACTTCCGAGGGCATCTAGAAGCAACCAGAGGTTTAGAATTCCAAGTTGCCAGACGGCACTTAGATAATTTGAGAATTTACTCAAACACTGTTATAGAATTGGATAGAAAGAGTCAAATGAGATGGGATATTTCTTGGGGACAGGGGTAGGGACAGGCATATTTCTTGTATTATTAACCGACATCATCAAATGTGTAAGTAGACATTCCTTATCTGTCTCTACAAGTATTGTGTCTATTTTTACACAGACCAGAAAAGGTCTGGTTTTAAGCATGAGAGCCAGAATGTTGAGATTATTCAGTGGGTGAGGTGCCTGACTTACAAGTGTGAAGACTGGGATTTAAACAAAGACACACACACACACACACACACACGCACACACACAGCACCTGCGATGCTAGGGACTGCAATGCATGTCTGTAACCCCAGTGCTGGCAGGTAGGAGACAGAGATGGGGTCCACGGAGCCTGTTGGCCAGCCAGTTTACCAAATCAGTGAGATCCAAGCTCAGTGAGAGACCCAGGTGGGGTGGCTCAGTGGGTAGAGAGAGGGACTAGCTGCCAGGCCTAGAACCTGAGATCAATCCCCCAGAACCCACATGGTACAAGGAGAAAAGCAGGTCCTTCAGGTTATCCACATATATACACGGTGACAAGATCCTTACATGCAAACACACAAGCAGTAAACACAGAGAGAGAGAGAGAGAGAGAGAGAAAGAGAGAGAGAGACAGAGAGACAGAGAGAGAGGAAGAGAGGTCTTACTGTGTAGCCCTAACTGTCCTGGGACTCACTCTGTAGACCAGGCTCGCCTAAAAAATCACAGAGATTTGCCTTCTTCTGCCTTGTTAAGTGGTTAAAAGTGTGACCCACCATGCCTGGCAAGATACTTTTTGAAAATAAATTCTTGAAAAGATAAAAATATTGTGGAGAACAGTTGAAGAAGATACCGGCCATTACCTTCTGGTCTGCACCCCAGTGTAGGTATGCCTGCACGTATGCAAAACTTGAGGACAGTAGTAATATCAATTCAGTTTTCAAATCTTAATTCTTTTCAGCAGCGAGAGAGGAGATAATCTCTTATTGCTTTCATCCTAGTCCAGCTGACAGAGGAGTAGATGTGAATATTCTGGGCTTCGTGCAGGTATTACTATCGATTTTTTTTAATATTTATTTATTTATTATGTATACAATATTCTGTCTGTGTGTATGTCTGCAGGCCAGAAGAGGGCACCATATCTTATTACAGATGGTTGTGAGCCACCATGTGGTTGCTGGGAATTGAACTCAGAACCTTTGGAAGAGCAGGCAATGCTCTTAACCACTGAGCCATCTCTCCAGCCCCATTTACTATCGTTTTTAACTTGCAGCTTTGTGGATGGAGTATTTTGAAGGTGCCTCTGGTCTACAGTAGTTAAGTTAATTCAAACAAAGTATTATAGTGTATTTAGTAATGTGGTCCGTGAATGCCTTCACCATCCCGCATACACTACAATGTCGCCTTCGTTGCATGCGACTTAAATTCTGAAAGTGAAGAAGCACGTGGACCAGCTACTGGAGTCCCCTGCGAGCCTCTTTACACGGCAGAGCTTTCGCTCTCCTCCCTGGGTCCACCCTTGTACTGCTCAGCCAACTGTGAAACCAAGGAGTGCTTTCGGGCATAAATGTCCAGCTATGTATAATCTCATGCTCCTGCCTCCACATCCCGAGGAAGTGGTCTTCCCACGTTACAGTCTCCCAGAGCGTGAGTAGACGGCACTGGGATCTCTTGTCAAATGTCACCACTGTTCTGGAGAAGTCTATTAAAAGAGCTGTGTGTCACTGAGCTATAGGTGCTGGTTTCCTCTGTGCCAGAAGCCAAGCCACATGGAAACTTGGTCACGGTCCCCACTTTTGGCCAGCCTCCGAGATGCTGCCGCCTCTCTGCACCCTGCATTCCTGTTGAGAACGTCTGAGGACCAGATGGTTTAGCATCCTCTCTGAGTAGGCCAGCACTGTCGGGACATCAATTGTGATCTGCTGGGTAAGGGAGGCAGAAACGAGAATGGCGGGCTGCCTTTTCAAGTTCTTGTGATACCGAAGCTCGTCAAGCCTCCACGAAAGCCGGTGTGTGTGATACGTTTGACCTGGAACCTGGCCTGATTTCCGGGGTGTGGAGAGCTCACAAATACGGCTCAAATCTCTTTCGGCGATGCCGGCAGTAGCGTAGCTTATTTTCCAGACTCCCCGAGGTCCTACATACAAGAGAGGGAATGGAGTTTCTTCCGTTTAAGTTAACGTTTCAAAGGGAGGTTAATTCAGTGGGTCGGGGTGACCCTGAAATGCCGCACCTGAAATCCTAGAAGCCGAGAGAAACATCCAGAGTTTAAGGCCACCAGGCTCCCCAGGGAGATGCTCTTGCAGGGGCGGGGGCCGGGAAGCAGATACTGGAGGAGGAGGGAAAAGAGAAAGGTAAATTAATTTTCATGAGACTGTAATGGAGTAGGGGAGCGCTTTGGTACCAAGTGCTACTACCAGCTGGCCTCCTCCATCAGTGCCTCGGTTTGCAGGAAGAGGAAGGAAATCACAAGAAAGCTAAATAGTGAAAGGGAAGCCATTTTAGCAAAACCTCCTCCACTAATGCTGCGTCTCTTCCGATTTCTTGCATAGCCATTTGAGTTTCTTTTGGGCTAGAATTCCTGCCGGATACATTCAGCTTCTTGTTTGATTTTTTAAAAGAAAGAAAGGAAGCTAAAAGTGTTGGTGGGGGACCTTGCAAGAAAGGAAGTGGGCACAGAGAAATTAAGCAATTTGCATGTAGCAGAGCCCAGACAATGCTACCTTTGATTACCCAAGGAAAACGCCCTCGACTTCAGGCTGGTGGCGTCTAATAAGTTGAATTCACATTCTCCGCTGAGATCCTTTCTGGCCACACCCATTATTTCCTTTTCACTGGAAAAAGTGTTTCCAATGTTCCACCCAGAGATCTCCTTCTGCTCTCTCTCTAATGTTTTAGAGATAACATCCAAGCCTGGCTTTAGTATAATGTTCCTGGTAGATGACTAACCAGGCCAGACAGACTTGTTCACGCAACAAAGGACTGAGTCAGTGTAGTTAGTTTAGCTCAAGTCTGTCCTCACCTAAAGACTCCAGCTAGAAATAACTGCTCCCATCCCGGGGTGAGCGTTTAATCTTGCCGTAATGCATCTGGCACAAAGGATGCTCTAGGTAGAAGGTTTTTCTCTTCCAGCCCTCTGTTGTCCTCTGTTCAATACGACTCCAGGGATGGGTGCCGCATGGCAGCTCAGTTTTCAGTCAGGACAAATACAGTTCTCGAACCTTCTACCTCATCGCACAGCTTCCGTAAATAGATCGCCCCCAGCGAAGACCCTCACCCATTCATATGAACTACTTTGTTTGCTTTGCATTTCCCCTCAATACTGTGTTCTATCTCATTGTGTGTGTGTGTGTGTGTGTGTGTGTGAGAGAGAGAGAGAGAGAGAGAGAGG